GAGCCTACTGGGCTCTATCATATCTACATTTAAAACTGTGTATGGAGTCAGCCTCCACCACATCACTGCCTAATGCATTCCATCCGTTAACTACTCTGACACTAAAAAAGTTCCTTCTTATGTCCCTGTAGCTCATGTGGGTACTCAGTTTCCACCTGTTTCACCATGTTCGCGTCCCGCCAGTGTTGAATAGTTTATCCTTGTTTACCCGGTCGATTCCCCTGAGGATTTTGTAGGTTGTGATCATGTCCCCCCTTACTCTTCTGTCTTCCAGTGTCGTAAGGTGCATTTCCCCTAGCCTTTCCTCATAACTCATGCCTCTTAGTTCTGGGACTAGTCTAGTAGCATACCTTTGAACTTTTTCCAGCTGGGTGGACGACCTGGGAGACCCGAACCCTGGAAAAGGGAAGAAGGGAAATTGTGGTGAACCCAAAGTGCAACCCCGGCCACTGAAGACGTGGCGCATAGGTAACAGCGAAGAGCCACAACCGGACACTATACATGACGCACCCTCAGCCTGACCAAGAATCAACAACCCAAGGACCCTTCCGGAAAACAGCAGTCTCATTCTTTGCCAGAAAAGAAGGAGACAGCTGCAAACGAACAAACCTAACACCAGGACTAAAAGAGCAGAAACCCCAGCGCCAGAGGGGAGCTTGAAGCTCCCTGACTCGACCCCCAGAGGCCAACAAGAAAGGAGCTTACCCCAAACAATCCTGAACCGAAGGGGCCACCACAAACCAAAGAGAAGAGAGAAAAGAGAGCACCCAGTCCAACGACCAGGATGGCTCAGGCAGTACATGAGCAGGCCACGCAGTCAGGGAATGGCACCACATATACTGGGAGACGCCTTGACCATGCCAAAGCAAAGAGGTCCACCTCCGGGAGCCCGTACGACCGGCAGAGCCAACTGAAGGAGTCGGTGTCGACCGTCCATTCAGTGGACAGGGAAATGAACTGAGACAGGCCTTCCACCAGGACGTTGTACACCCTCCAAACGTGAACAGCCAGGAGAGCCAAACCCTGAGAACTCAGCAGACGACTCACCCGAAGCAACCAGCCCCAAAGAACCAAGGACCACATCGAAGTCCTGCAGTGCTGGCTATGAACCACCAGGGAGCAGTCCGAATGGAGCCAGATCATCGATCCGCAAGCAACCCGCACCCTCCGAAGAGACATCAACACCGGCGCAAACTCCCACACCGAGCTGTGAGCCTGAAGGAAGGACGAACCCCACCGCCCCTGGCCAACCTGGTGAGCACTGGTCACAAAGCCCCATCCAAGGGATGATGCATCCATGTACACATCGAGTGAGGGCTCGGGAAGGCACCAAGGCGAACCCCCTGGTTCGCAAGCACCGAAGAATCCGAAGAGGAAGTTGGCAACACAGCAATCAACGCAGGGGCTTCCGGAGGCCGAATGCAGCGATCGAGAGGCAGAATGGTTGTCCCCGAAGGAACCAGAACAGCTGACAAAGCCAAACACAACCCAGTGGGTAGACCATCATGGCAAAGGTCAGGCTCCCGCACAAATCCTCAAGCAACCGCCGAGTGACCCGGGAGCACCCCCAGAACAAGTGAAGGCAGAACCGCAGCCTAAGCAGAGCCTCTGGAGGGAGAGACAAGGAAGTGGTCCAAGAGTCCCACAAAAGACCCAGCCAAGACCGAACCTGAGAAGGAACCAGATGGGACTTCCTCCAGCCCACCAGGAACCCTAACCTGGCAAGCTGGGAAAGAACCAAAACCCTGGCAAGCAGACACATGGACTGGCTGGAAGCCCACACCAACCAGTCGTTGAGGTAGGTTAGGACCCGAACTCCAAAAAGAAGCAGAGGGGCACCACGTCTCGGGTAAGGTGCTTAAACACGTGAGGTGCCAGGTTCAAGCCAAATGGAACGCAACGAAAGCATGAACCCCGATGTTCCACAACAAAACCGAGCCAGTCCCTGAACCCCCGGATGAAACAGGACGTTCCAAAACGCATCCTGTAAGTCCAAGGACACCACCCAAGCGCCTGACTCCAAAAGAAGCCAGACCTGGGACAGTAGGCATCCGAAAGGAGGGGCAAAAGAGAAAACAGGAGGACCCCCTTCCTAAGACGACTCGACAGAGCATAGAAGAGGCTCTCTCCGCCAGCCCTAAACCCCTCAAAGAGTGAGGAGCTCCCCAACACCACCGCAGGCAATCGAAACTGACCCGAAAAGCCCACAAAGCCTGAGACCAGGGGTGAGCAAACAGCGCGAGTCCCGCCCCCATCGTCCTGTCAATGGGACAAACTGCTAAAGAGCTGATGCCCTTGAGGAGAACCTGACCAACGAGCAGAGCTAGAACCACACCGACCAGATGAAGGCGGGTTCGAAGGCGGCACCAACATTGAAACTGGTACCACCTGCCTACCCCGAAGGAAGGAACCCCGAGTCCTGGCATGACCCCACCGGGAAGAACTCCCACGGGCCTACCCCCATGAGCCCTCCCCCATTCCCATCCCCGGAGAACCAATAAATCCAACATCGGGTAACAACAAGCAGAAGGGAGAAGAAAACCTAAGAGCTAGGGGCCCAGGAAGAGGAAACGAAGAACCAAACCCGAACGAAGAAGGATCCAATATGGAGGCATAATCCAGGTCGCACAGGAGGTAAGCCACAATGGCTTCCCGCACGACATGAGGCAGGAATGGGAAGCCAAAAACCACTGGAAGGACAGGACCGATGGGCTCACACCCCACCATAAGGCACAGAGCTGGAGGACAAGAAAACAGGAGCCAGAGTCACTCGACCGTTGCCAATCACATCAGCCAAAGTAATGCGGAGTGGATAGCCAGTATGAGAATATGAGGCTCCTCCTTCCCCCTCCTGGGAAGGAAGGGGTGCGCAGACGACTGCGCGGTAACTAGGTGATGTCATGCTCGTTTGCTAGTTTTCATTTGGGGAGTTCAAGCCACTAGTTCAGCTTTCAGTAGCAATATTTTCACCAGAATAGGGGGTTTGTTTCGGAGCACCTACATTTCTGGGTGCCTGACCCTGTCGATGGAAGACACAGAATGCTTCCAACCACATGGGGGTTTCTATAGGCCATTGCTCCTCGTGCCCTTTCTGAGGGGGACAGGTTCTGGCTTGTGGTCCCCGGTAGGCCTAGAACTCCATTCACATTGATGCCAAAGTCTAATATATTCATATCAGCCTGGATAGCTCCAGGGAGCCGACGGGGCTCCCCCCAGAGAAAACAGCGTTGACTGTAATGAAATGCCATTTTCTGGGCAAGCCCCGGAGGCTCCCTGAAGCTATCATACTGACATGTGCCATATTAGTTTGGTGCTATCAGTCCTTGGAGTTTGAGTGCCTACCGGGGACCACGAGCAAGAATTTGGCCCCCTCAGAGAGGCAAAGGGAGAAATGGCCATATGAGCTCTCTATAGTTATAGTTTGTCATGTCTGCCATCGACCGGGAATACCACCAGAAAAGTAGGCGAACCATTACAAACCTCTAACTGGTGAAAATTGCAACCTATGTTCAATCAGAGCCAAAGAACTTCCCCCAATGAAAAACAATGAAGGCAACATGTCATTCAACTAGCGAGCTCGCTCGTTAGCCCTTCACCCACCCCCAACAGTGGGGAGGAGGGACTCCACTTAGGCGAGTCGTCCACCCCACCCTCAGTTCGGAGAATGATGAAAACTGCTGACCGGAGGGAGGGTGTCAGGGAGCCTTCGGGGCTTGTCCAGAAAATGCCACTTCATTACATTCAACATTGCTTTTCAGAGGGAAGAAAAGTCAGCTCCCTGAAGCTATCTACCCACAGATAAGAAAAAACAGGGACTTACCCGCCTGACAGCTGAGTAGACAGTGCTTCGGATTCGTAGTCCTGAGGTTCTGGGTTTGATCCCTGGTGGAAGCGGAGACAAATGGGCAAAAAGTTTCTTGCACCCTGATGCCTCTGTTACCTAGCAGTAAATAGGCACCTGGGAGTTAGATAGCTGCTACGGGCTACTTCCTGGGGGTGTAATTACCTAAGTGTAGTTACAGGATGAGAGCTACGCTCGTGGTGTCCCGTCTACCCAGCACTCTTTGTCATATAACACTTTGAAATTACTGACAGTTTTGGCCTTCACCACTTTCTCACCAAACTTGTTCCAACCGTCTACCACTCTGTTTACAAAAGTGATTTTTCTTATATTTCTCTGGCAGCTTTGTTTTATGAGTTTAAATCTATGACCTCTTGTTCTTGAAGTTCCGGGTCTCAGGAATTCTTCCCTATCAATTTTATCGATTCCTGTTACTATTTTGTATGTAGTAATCATATCACCTTATTTTCTTCTATCTTCCAGTTTTTGCATATTTAATGCCCCTAACCTCTCCTGGTAGCTCTTGCCCTTCAGTTCTGGGAGCCACTTAGTGGCATGTTGTTGCACCTTTTCCAGTTTGTTGATATGCTTCTTAAGATATGGACACCATACAAATGCTGCATATTCCAGCTTTGATCTAACAAGAGTCATGAACAATTTCTTTAGTATTTCTCCATCCATGTATTTAAAAGCAATTCTGAAGTTAGAAAGTGTAGCATAGGCTCCTCGCACAATATTCTTAATGTGGTCCTCAGGTGACAGTTTTCTATCTAGAACCACCCCTAGATCCCTTTGTTTGTCAGAATTCTTTAAAGTTTTCTCACATAATATATAGGTTGTGTGGGGGTCTATGTTCTCCAATTCCACATTCCATAACATGGCATTTATTCACGTTAAATTCCATTTGCCAAGTGTTGCTCCATATTCTTATTTTGTCCAGGTCTTCTTGAAGGGCATGAAGATCATCTAGGTTTCTTATCTTCCCTATTATCTTAGCATCATCAGCAAACATGTTCATATAATTCTTTATTCCAACTGGTAGATCGTTTATGTAGACAATGAACATTACCAGTGCAAGAACTGAACGCTGTGGTACTCCACTCGTAACATTCCTCCAATCCAATACATTGCCTCTGATTATGGCCCTCATTTTTCTGTCAGCCAGGAAATTTTTCATCCATGTTAGAAGCTTACCTGTTTCCCCTCCAATATGTTCCAGTTTCCAGAACAACCTCTTGTGTGGAACTCTGTCGAAAGCCTTTGTAACAAAAAAGGAGGCCTTAGCCTCCCCTTAGCCACGGGAAGGCTAAGCCTTGAAACCATCTCAAGATAACCTCAAGATACCCAGGAGGCAGCAGCACCGCAGGGCTCACAATGAAGATGAAACAACTGGCCGCAAAAAACGTCCCAATGCAACATAAGGCTGCACAGGGCCCCAGAATGTTTAGAAGATCAGGCGGTCAGGACCCTGTTCGATTTCCAAAACACTCGCACCCGAATATTGACCCAAGACATGTCCTACAAGATTCAGGGTTGAAGGTGTCTCCGACCCAACAGGCAACATGACAGAGGTAGGATGTATGATCGTCACCAGGAGGCAAAGTCAATGAACACCCCTCGGTATCACACAAGGCGAGACAGGGCTCGGAAGACACGTCCATGGTACCCCCGAGCCCTATAGGGATTTCCAGGGCCTGTAGGGGTATGTTAGCTCTACAGGAAGCCCAGGCACTGGAGCCAGCTAAGCCAGTAACCCCTGTCTACTGCTGGCAAACTGACAACCGGCGTCGCTGAGAAACCTCGGAACAAAAGATAATGACTACCAAACACAACCTAGGCTAGCGTAATGGGAAACTAGGCAGACCTCCTCTGCTGAGGAAGCGAGAATGCACTAAAAAATAAAGAAACAAAAAGTACCCCAAAGCAACACACAGACTAACCAGTCCCTAAGGAGAATCCTTGGCCGCCGCTGAATGCAAGCTGAGCCGGCTGCAGTGCACCCACCCCCCGCACCCAGCACAAATCCACTCCCTACCCGGGGCAAGATAAGAAGCCCAAAACCCCCAGCAAACCCCAAGGGCGAGAACAACACCAAGTGATGAAGTCCTCAAATGAGAGTGAGACTCGAACGACCCAGGGAAGAGAACTCTGACCCACAAGGGAAGTACTTACCAGGCACCTAGGGAAGGGAATCCTAGGCACATGCAGCTCAGAATACTTGTAGGAACACCTGGTCACAACACAGTTGACAAAGTCACAAATGCAAAGCCAGACAAAAATTGAGGCCAAATTGAGGTCAGAGAGGACATGTGAACACCAGCACATCAGTCTATGAACTGAGGGTGGTGCGGCAGTCTCACCTGAGCTAGGTCCCTTTTTTCCCTGTCGGGAGAGGGTGAGGCGCTAACAAGTGGGCACGCTAGTTGGATGATCTGTTGCTTGTTTCACTGTTTTCTATTGGGGAAGTTCATTGATTCTCTTCGGACATAGATTGCAATTTCTAGCAGATAGAGATTTGTAATGGTTCGTTTACATTTCAGGTGGTATCCCTGGTTGATGGCAAACATGACAAACTCTAAATATAGAGAGCTCATATGAGTGGGCCTCCCTGAGTGGGTCAGGTTCTGGCTCGTGGCCCCAGTAGGCACTCGAACTCCAAAAGACTGATGGCACCAAACTAATATGGCACATGTTAGTTTGATGGCTTCAGGAATCCAACAGGGCTCCCCTCAGAAAATCACAATAACCCAAGATATTTTGTTTGCAAAATAAATTCTGTAGATATTCATTGCATACAAAATAATGGCAAGTAATCCCTTTCAAAATATGGAACACAAACTTATATTGATAATATCATTTGAAATATGGTTTAATATTTATATACTCTGGTTTAGTTCTGAAAATGGCTGCTAGCTCTCTAAAAGCTGGTCTCTTTGGTGCCTTATAACTCCAGCACCGAAGCATTAGGTCAAACACCCCCTTAGGACATTTCTCTGGCTTGGGAAGTCTTTCGTTCTTGTCAAGGAGTTCAACAACCTGAAATTTGTTTATTTAAATTTAGTAATAAATTATATAAAAATCAAATGTTGAATATAATGACACCCTTTCTGGTGGGCCTTTGCTACCTCCCAGTAGCTTACAGTCTGGTGAAGCCAAACCTAGAGAAGTGCACCAGGCCTCTGAGACCTAGGCTGACCTAGGTCTAGACTAGGGATCCATGATGTATGAGGATCTCGGGGGTCAGATATCTACTCAAAACCAAGAAAAAAACCCACTTGAAAGACAAGACAAGCAAAACATATTTCAGGTCTGTCTGAAGATAAAAATACTGATACAAACAATCCTTCTTGTAGAACAACATTAACCACTGTGATGCAAGCAGTCATTGTGACATTCTGGCTGTGCGCCAAAAATAAAGTGTTCTCCCTAATTTTTTTTCTTTGTAAATTGTTAAAGTCCCTTCCCTGAACATGTACAGTACATATAAAAAAACAGCGTTGAATGTAATGAAACGCCTTTTCTGGATGACACCCGGAGGCTCCCCGGAGCTATACTGGGCTGATGTGTATATATTAGACCTTGGCAACAGTCAGTCGAACGAGTTCTAAGCTTACCGAGGACCAGAGCCAGAAACTAGACCCCTCAAGAGAGGCACGAGGAGCAATGGTATGAAGACACCCCCGTGTAATTGGAAGCAGTCTTTGTCTGCCATCTACCAGGTCAGGCAACCAGAAAGGCAGGAATTTCAAAAACTACTGCTGGCCAAAAAATTGCAAACCGAAAGCCGAAAAAGTAAAAAGAAGTCCCCAATAAAAAAAAATGGGAAACAAACATGACGTCACCACCACAACTGCTGCGCATCCGTCTGCGCACCCCCCCCCCCCCATCCCCGGGAGAGAGATGCATGGGGGTGGGGGGGGGGTTCCCCCCAGACTACCATGCAGGCAACTCTCGCCAGTTCAGAGGCTGAGTATCAAAAACGCGAAAAAACGCCGACCGGAGGGAGGGAGGGAGGGATGCTGGGGAGCCTCCGGGTCTCACCCAGAAAATGGCATTTCATTACATTCAACGCTGGTTTTCTGTGGAGAGCCCCTTCGGCTTCCCGGAGCTACTTAACCAAAGATAAGGAAAAAGGGACTCACCCGGGAGGCGGTCGTCAGTCGCTCCTTAACTCAAAGTCAAGACAACTGGCCGCAACCTGCGACCCAAGACTATACACGCCCGAGGAGAACATTAACAAAGTAATGTGCAGCCAGGACTCTGATCAACCTCCAAAAGCCCCGTACCCAAAGATAGGCCAGGACATATTACCAAAACAGCAGCCGAACGCCGAACTTACGAAAGACGTGGGCACGGGGTTAGACTGCAGGCTGGCAGGACCGAATAATCCTGCGGACAACCTGAGAGAAGGGAAACAGGGTCAACCCAAAGCACGTCCTCTGCCACAGAGGCCGTGGCGTGCAAATAACCGCGAAGAGCCACAGACACAAAACATGATGCACCCTCGGCCGAATCAACCAAGCATCAACAACCCATGGACCCCTTCGGAAAGCAATAGACTCATTCTTCGCCAGAAAAGGAGATGGCTGCAAACGAACGAAACGACCACCGGGACTGAAAGAGCAGAAACCCCTGCGCTGGAGGAGAGCATGAAGCTCCCTGACCCAACCCCCAGAGGCCAATGCCAACAAGAAAAGAGCCTTAGAAAAACAGTCCTGAACCGAGGGGGCAACCACAAACCGAGGAGAAGAGAGAAAAGAGAGCACCCGGTCCAACGACCAGGACAGCTCAGGCGGTGCATGAGCAGGCCGGAGGTGAAACAATGCCTGAGAAAGCTTGTGGAATGGAGCAGAAGTGACATCCACCCCGAATGCAAACTGCAGTGGCCCCGCCAGAGCTGCACGATACGATGCGACAGTATCTGGCATAAGATGACGGTCCTGAAACAACCAAGAGAGAAAGGACAAAACAACCCGATCAGAAATCAAAGGCAACCTACAAAGAGACAAAAATGCAGAAAGGACTGCCAGGAAATTTCATACTGCCGTCTAGACGAAACTCGCAGGTGGGACACCATCAATGAAGCCACCTGATCACCATACAATTGGTGATACACCCACGTCAAAAAGACCAGAAACAGAGTGGAGAAGATCGAATCAGCCACGTACCGGACCAGACAGATCTGCTGAAAGAGGCGGAGCCACGGGAAGACCCTTGGGTACGGACAGCGAGCAAGAAGCGCCTGAAGCCAAGGCTGGCCCGGCCACCAAGGAGCCAACAGGACTACTCTCCCCTGGTAAGTCTCCAACCGAGCCAGGATCCGGAGCAACAACCGGACCAGACGGAAGAGGTATAGGTAACTCCACCTCGACCAGTTCAGCCGAAAGGCATCGACCCCGACGGCCTCGCAGTCTGGGAAGGGCGCCACATAAACTGGAAGATGCTTTGACCACGCTGATGCGAAGAGGTTCACCTCGGGGCGCCCATACGTCCGGCAGAGCCAACTGAACAAGTTGGCGTCGACCGTCCATTCTGTGGAAAGGGGAATGAACCGAGATAGGTCGTCCACCAGGACGTTTGACACCCCCTGAACATGAACTGCCAGGAGAGCCAAACCCTGAGAACTCAGCAGATGAGTCACCCAAAGCAACTAGCCCCAAAAAACCAAGGACCACATCGAAACCCCGCGGTTCAGGCAATGAACCACCGGGGAGCAGTCCGAATGGAGCCGGATTGTTGCTCCTCGAGCGACCCAAATCCTCTGAAGCGAATGCCACACCGCCACAAACTCCCGCACCGTCAGCTCGACGGAAGGACGGACCCCACCGACCCTGGCTGGCCTGGTGAGCACTTGTCACAAAACCCCAGCCGAGAGATGAGGCATCCGTGAACACATCGAGTGAGGGCTCGGGGAGGTACCACTGCATAGAACCCTGGAAAACCCGCAGAGGAAGCTGGCAACGGAGCAGCCGGCGCAAGGCTCCCAAGATCCGAACCCATCGATTACGAGAGTGCGGAAGGGACGACCCAGAAAACACCAGAACATCCGCCGAAGCCAGATCCGACCCAATGGGTAGACCAACACGGCGAAGTTCAGGCTCTCGCATTGCCACTCGAACAACCGACGTGTGACCCTGGTGTCCTCCAAAAACAGCAGGAGGCAGGACCGCAGCCGCAACAGCGTCGCCAGAGGGAGAGACAAGGAAGCGGTCCGAGAGTCCCACACAAGACCCAGCCAAGACCCAGCCAAGTCCAAGCCTGAGAGGTAACCAAATGGGACTTCCTTCAGTTCACCAAGAACCTGAACCCGGCGAGCTGGAAAAGAACCATATCTCTGGCGAGCAGACAACACGGACTGGCTGGGACCCCACACCAGCCAGTCGTTGAGGTAAGCCAGAACCCGAACCCCTAAAAGACGCAAACAGGTCACCACGACCCGGGTAAGGCGTGTGAACATTCGAGGTGCCAGATTCAAGCCGAATAGAAGGCAACGAAAGTGGTAAGCTTGTTGCCCCATGACAAAACCGAGCCAGTCCCTGAACCCCCGGATGAATCGAGACGTGCCAATACGTGTGTCTCTGGAGGTCCAGAGACACCATCCAGGCACCCGGTGCCAAAAGCAGCCGGACCTGAGACAGAGTGGTCATCCGCAAGGAGGAGCAAAAGACCCAGAGATTCAGACTAGACAAGTCCAGTATGAATCGCAGATCCGCACAGTCCCATTTCGGAACTGAAAACAGGTGGGAAACCCACCTGAGGCACGTTGTCGTTTTGACCACACCCAAGCGAACCCACTCCTGGATGACCTGACAGAGCACAGGAGACGAGGCCTGCCCTGCCAACCTCAATCCCCTTGAAGGAGGAGGATCTACCCAACGCCACCACAGGCCGAAGGAAACGACTTGAAATGCCCATGAATCGTGGGACCAGATGAGAGCAAACAGCGTGAGCCTCTTCCCTATCTATTGTCAACAGGGCAACGTGTGAAAGGGCCGACGACCCCTACGAGGGCCTAACCGACGCCGAGAGGGATCACTGCACTGACCAGACGCCGACAGCTCCAGAGGAGGTGCCAGCCCTGAATCTGGCACTACTGGCTTATGATGACAGAAGGAACCCCGAGACCTGCCACGACCCTTCTAGGCAAGACCTCCATGGCCACCTCCCCCCCTACCGGAGAACCTACAAGTCCGACAAAGGCCGTCAACTAGGTGAAGTCGCCTGCAGAAAATGCACCACCACAGACTCTGCAAACAACAATGGACAAAAAACCAGCGTTGAATGTAATGAAACACCATTTTCTGGGTGAATCCCGGAGGCTCCCCGGAGCTATCCCAGGCTGATATGCTAATGACAGACTTTGGTATCAGTCATGTGTATGGAGTTCTTAGGCCTACCGGGGACCATGGCCAGAACCGGGCCCCCTCAGAGAGGCAAGGGGAGCAATGGCCTATAGAAGCCCCCGTGTGGTTGGAAGCATTCTATGTCTGCCATCGATCGGAACAGGCACCCAGAAAGATAAGCGCCTCAAAACAAACTCCTATCCTGGTTAAAATTGCTACCAAAAGCTGAACTAGTGGATAGAATTACTCCCCAACAGAAAACAAGCAAACTAGTGTGACGTCACACGCCGCTGCGTCGCTGTCTGCGCAGCTCCCCCCTCCCCGGGAGGGGAAAGGGGGAGCCCCAGACCTCCCACGCCGGCTATCCACCCATCAGTTCTGAGGCTGGATGTCAAAACACGCAAAAAAACGCCTACCGGGAGGGAGGGTTGTCGGGGAGCCTCCGGGTCTCACCCAGAAAATGGCGTTTCATTACATTCAATGCTGGTTTTCTGGGGGGAGACCCGTTGGCTCCCCGGAGCTAACTACCCAAAGAGGAAGGTCAAAGGGACGGAACCGGGAGGCGGACACCACGCACCCCCCATGGAAGCGAGACAACCGGCAGTAAACGCCAACCCAAGGCGCCACAGCCTTGTGGCACCTTGGGAACAACACGAAAACAACGAGCAGCAAGGCCCCCGTACGAACACCAAA